ATGATTTTTTCTACCATAATTATTTTTATGAATACAGTATAACCATAAATTAAAGCAATTAACATTCTATAGCTATTACTAATACAGAGATAGCATTCACTTATCTAAACTAAATTGGAGTAAGTACGTTTGGTAATTAAAAATCTACGTCATTCCCTAAATAAATTCAGTTTTTCACTGATTATAACATGTCATCGAGGTTGTAATAAATATAAGTTGAAACTTAATTCTGTCTAAATCGGATACATTAATACTTATAATTTTAATTTTATGCTACACAATAATGTAATAAATTAATAAGCTAATAGTAATAAGACGATTAAGGTAATTTACATACATGTATTTTAAAAATGGACTTATTTAATACATAATGATCATTCACCATTGGCTTTTTAAATTAATATTTATAATCCAGTCTCGTATTAATAACATATTTATAATAACAATTTATCTATTCATGTAAAGTAAAATTTTAGTAATTTGTTGTTAATCTGTAGCGATGCGTTTTAAGTACCAAACAATATAACTAATTAACTAAAAATACTGTTAAAATATTGTTTTAATGTTTATTTACAGTTATCAACATAATTAATTTTTATAAATCAGATTCTTATTAAACATATAAAAATTAATAATTAATAAAAATATATAGAAATTAATTAAATAAATAATAAAATTACTAAATAATTAAAAACACGAATTTTATTATATTATGTTTAATTTAATTTAAATTATCAGTTCAAATATTTTTATTTAAAATGCTTCAATGTAAAATAAGACGTGACATTGATTGGCTAATACCCGGCGGCCAACTTGTGTGGCGACAATTGCGGTGTTTGCTCTCCAAACCAGGCCTTAGGTCGGCCTCCAACGGGCGCTACCTTTTGATCCGACACTTGTTGGCCACGGGATTGAGTCTCTCGATAGACAAACCACACACTCAGCGCCCATAAGAATACATTAACAAAACCACAAATCTATGTAAAAAAACAAACAATGTAATTTATTAAACGACCAATTAGCAACATTTATATAACAATAAGGTAGTTAATAAATACTTGTGATATATTGAGCATGGTCCACTTCCCGGGGTTTGACTCATAGCACTCGCCGCGAGGGTTAGCGCTATCGGCTGTATTGGGATCACTACAAAACTCCAGCCCTAGCCACAAATTACTTGGACTCGCAAAATAACGTATTTTATGTACGGTTACAACCCATACAGTGATAGCCACCGGACAAACTATGGTCAACATAATGGTGCCAATCATGTCAATGGTGGCCCAAAATGGACGTCCAGCGCACGCGTGTAGTACGAGTGCGGCCATTGAGTATACGGCGCACATAAGACACGTCATGGCGTAAAATTGGGCACCAAATGAGTAATCATTTTGATATGTGATTGTCTGTCGAGCGCCGGTAGGGTTAGCGCAGCTTCTGTAGGATCTAAGTGTTTGATCCGTGAATTTGAACGGATACTCGACGTTAACCGTAAATTTTTCCTTAAAAGTAAAGATTGTTTACATAAATAATTAATTCTTGAATTTACTAAATAATTTATGCAAATATTTTTCCTAAAATGACCTAAATGTCTAAATTAGTATTAACTTTTTCTATAACTAATGCTTAATGAGAATTTGTGGTTACATTATAATAAAATGATCCATCTTTAAAGTATACTTTAAAGTACGGTAAATATGTGGTACCCGCTGTCTTATTAAAGCGGGTGCACGCCATGGTAAATGATGTTATCGTATTAAAACCAATAATAGTCATAAAGGCTGATATGGCAAATCCCTATATACACAATTAAAAATAAATAATTAATATTTTATAATTTAAATTTGTTTTGGCGATACACTAATCAAGATTATGATTCGGATACTAATTAAACATATTTTGT